TTGAATCACCAAATATGTAAAACTGCTACTTTACAGTGTATACTATATATTAGATTATTCAATTATCTGACTTTTTAAAAGCACTTTTTAGTGCACAGATGCCATGTAAATATATCAAAACAACAATAATAATAATAATGTCCTTTAGAGGGGTTGAATAGGAGTCTGAAAGCTGTACAGATGTGGAGATTGTGGGAAAAGTACACAGAGGCGTGAGGGTTTATTTTGTCTGGGTTGCTTGTGGAGGCATGCGGGCCGGTGACCCGTACCAAATCACAGACGCAAACAAACAAACAAGACATGATAGCACTCACAAACACAGCCGCTGCTCACATCCTTATCTGCAGTCTGAGGACACACACACACGTGTTTGGCACTGTCTGAATCCACAAGGCTGTTTTTACTGAAGAACATCTATTTTAATACTTGCCTTTTAGGATATTTAACCACCTATAGGACACAATCCCTCCTCTCTTGTGCATTTGGTATCTTGTTAGAAACTCTTCTATGTTTCTATTTGTATATAGCTATTTTATATGTTAATACTTGTACTTTTATTTATACACCACATTCTCTATAATGAAAGTCTGTGATTAGTTCATATTTGCTTTTATTTTCTATTGCCTATCTTCTATTTCTCCACTTTTAGATTCTTATTGTTTTTATTATAATTTTTGTCGCTGGTTCGAGCCCCGGCTGGGTCAGTTGCCATTTCTGAGTGGAGTTTGCATGTTCTCCCTGCGTTCGTGTGAGTTTCCTCCGGGTGCTCTCGTTTCCCTCACAGTCCAAAGACATGTGCTACAGGTGAATTGGGTAGGCTAAATTGTCCGAAGTGTATGGGTGTGAATGAGTGTGTGTGGATGTTTCCCAGAGATGGGTTGTAGCTGGAAGGGCGCTGCATAAAACGTGCGCAGGATAAGTTGGCGGTTGATTCTGCGGTGGCGACCCCAGATTAATAAAGGGATTAAGCCGAAAAGAAAATGAATGAATGAATGAAGAAACTTAAAGGTTTTGCTGTGCTTTAATATATGGTACAATATGATCATGGCACTACCATGTTTTTGTGCACATACAGTATAGCAGGGTAACTGAAAGCAGCACAACTTACTGTGCTGTATGATGCAAAGATGTTCAATTAAGCACTGTGTACTAGTATAGTGTATGAATATGATAATATTTCACATACATGCAAACATTTACTCTACATAGATTTGTGTCATTATCACCAGCGATCTAATCCTTACAGATCGCTGGTAAGCTCACAGATGGCATAGAACTACAAACCCACCAATATGTGGACTATAAGATCCAGTCATGCACTACGCACTCACATATGTTCCGGATTTCCACTGATTGCTAACACGACTGAAGCTGTTTAGAACTGATTAAATGAACTTTAAAAGCAGCAGTCGTGTAAACAGTATAGTGAACATCTTCAGTTGTGTGTTTTAATTATTCTGAAACATTATAAGTAATAAAAAATGCTATTTTTCTGATATGACATAAAATTATTATAAATGAGGATGATTTAATAAGTAAATGATCTGATATGCAGATTTGCTGCTGACTAAAATATTATCAAATTGAATCATAATTGTGCAGCTTAAAGTTATGGAAATCAGGATTTTAATAATATTAATGTTATTATTATGATCATCATCATCATCATCATCGTTATTATTATCGTTACTATTATTATTCATGTTATTATTATTATAATTATTATAATTATTACAATTACAATTATTATTATTATTACTATTAATATAATTTCATTGTTATAATAATAATAATAATAATAATAATAAATTATTATTAGTATTATTACTATTATTATTATTATTATCATTATTATTACTATTCACGTTATTATTATTGTTATTATTAATATTGTTGTTATTATTATTATTATTATTATTATTAACATTAATATTGTCATTATTATTATTGTAATTATTAATATTATTTTCATTATCAAGATTATTAATATTATTATAATTTTAATAATAATAATAATAATAATAATAATTATTATTATTATTAATAATAATAATAATATTAATATTAATATGATTATTATTATTATTATTATTATTATTATTATTATTATTATTATCATCATTTGTATTGTATTTAGTATTATTATAGGAAACACCTATATTTTATTAGAAATATGTTTACTATTATTATGAAACATCTTTAATATATATTTTGATGCTATAAATATTAATAAATAAATAAAAAGTACAGTTTTAACATATAGTGAATCAAACAAACATACTTAATATGAGGTTTAACATAATTGGGATAATTGCTACAAATATTTTTTTTTAAGTTTTTTTTAAAAGTAAATATATTTTAATAAAAGTATTATTATTGTTATTGTTATTATTATCATTATGTTGCTAACTTAAATCTTTATATTTGTATCAATTTAAAGCATCCTTGCTGAATAAAAGCTGCAAGATTTAAATAAATATTTTAACATTTTACTGACAGTTTTAAAATATATTTTACTATTTAATTAGTAATGTACAATATTAAATATTATTATAATAAAATCATGGCTTTTTTGTAAGGGAAAAATTAACCAGTTGACACACTAAGCCTCCTCACACAGTTTTATTACCATTCCCCATTTCATCTAACGTTTCCGTATGACTTCGATTCTAGATTTATTGCTTTTGACACAACGTATCTGGTCCATGACTAAATCTTTTTCTGTATCCCCTGCAGGATGATCTTTGTCAAAAGTGTTCTCATCCTCTCTCTCGCTCTCTTTATCTCACTATCGCAGTCTGAATGAAGAGGCCCGAGGCTGCATAACTTCTCTTTTGTGTTGCCAGATCCTCACCTGCACCGGGTCCACCTGTCTTTACCCGAGGGCCTCAGCACGGAGCTAAAGAATCCAAAGCACTGAGGCCCACGGCGCAGCTCTGGCTTTTACTCTCAGCAGGGGGCCTCACGACAGAGCTCTGAAAACGGGCCCCAGCGTGGAGCGCTACGCCTACATCACAGACGTATTTTTTTCTTTATTGAATAATTCCCAAATGATGTTTAACAGAGCAGGGATTTTTTTTTCAAAGTATTTCCAATAATATTTTTTCTTCTGGAGAAAGTCTTATTTGTTTTATTTCGGCTAGAATAAATGCAGTTTTTAATTTTTTAAAAACATTTCAGGTCAGTATTATTAGCCCCCTTAAGCAATATGTTTTATATTACAATAAATATTATTATATTTAAAATACACAGGGGGGCTAATAAATCAGGAGAGCTAATAATTCTGACTTTAGCTGTATGTTTGAGATTGGCAGACATATATAGCGTGTCCCCGTCTCACCTGCCGCGGGGGATTTCAACGTCGTCTTTTTTCCAGCGGATGGACGGCTGCGGGTCTCCCTGCACCTGACATCGAAATTCCACAGCCTCCTCCTCCAGAACCACCTGGTTAATGGGACGCCGCAGGAACGTGGGCCTCTCTGGAAAGAAGAACATAAGGAGATCTCAATGACTCAACATTAGTCACAAATGGTGTACAGAAGCTCTTGTGTTGTTGTGTAAGAGAGTGAGTGATACTTTTTTTTTGTCTTGGCATGTTTTACGACTGACGTGAAGACACAAGCATAATAGGGGAATTAGACATGACACATTCTCTCACCATGGAAAAATTAATGGGGATCGCTCAAACTTGCTTGTTTATAGAAGCATCAATTATGAGCTGAGATGTTAAGCATTTTCTGGGAATGAGCGAACAGTTTTATTTGTATGGTAAGGAATCAGGTTCGGGACGTACTGAACTGAGATTTAAGCAACACTACAGTCTCAGTGTCTGAACTAAAAACACTCTGTAAAATAAAACCACAAAACTAAATTCAAAGCAAAAAACTGAGCTGCAGAACAATAAAACAAAACAAAAACAATGCAATGCAATGAGTGAATAGTTTTTTTTTTATGGTAAGAAATCAGGTTCAAGATGTACTGTATTGAGCGTTAATTTGGACTTTTGAGTCAGTGATTGAGCTAAAAATAAACTGTAAAATAAAACCACAAAATAAAATTGTGACAAACAAAATAAAAGACAAATTACTAAAAAAAAAAAAAGAAAAAAGTGAAAACATGGCAAAAAGAGAACTGATTTAAATAAAGCTAAAACAATAGCACTGCAAAATAATCAAAACAAAGATCATAACTGAAATAAAAACTAAATGAATTTCACACCCAAAAAACTGTACTTTAAAAAAACAAAGGTCGCCACTGGGGTTTACTCATTTTGAGTACAAAGTTGTACCCTAAGGACCAGTTTTGGGCCTTTAAAATTGATTTAAAGAGCCCATATTATGGGTTTTTGAAAATTCCCCTCCATGTAGTGTGTAACACAGCTCTAAGTGAAGTGAAGTATCCAGCTAAGGCTTAAATCTGTTAGTGTACAGTGTTTAAAACTGTTGATTCATCTATAAAAGAGTCGACTCATAGTGCTTCAAACGAGTCGCCTTGATCACGATTCATTAGGTGTTTCGCCATGACGTACAAACGAAACCAAGTTATTCACGTGCACGCGCAAACCCAGGAGATTTCAAACCTGAGGCCCCGCCCTCTGACGCAGAAACCCAGACACACACATACACACACCCACAAACACACACACACAAACATGCCGGTTGATTGAAGTCACACTGCAGATGGATATATTGAGTCTCTACCCAAAGATGAAACCTCAGCATTATAACCAAGCAGTTGGAAACTTCTGGAAGCTACATGCTACAAAGAATACTTCATCTGAGTTTGTTAAAGGAAGGATCAGTAAAGAGTAACTGATGGACGTCAGGATGGGTTTCTTCCATTTCTCAAGTGTAAGTACGTGCGGTTAAAGTTGTTGCCTCGTTTACTCTAGCTTGCAAATGTATTTCGTTGTGATTTGTTACTTCTAACCGCGTGTACTGTATCAGGTTAACTGGATATATTATCTTATCGCGTGCAAAGTCACGTTAAAAACGCGACGCGTGCTGTTTGTTTATGGAGCTCCGTGCTAGAGTTCTGCTCCCGCGATTTATTCGGAAATTTATTCCCGCGCCGCAGAAATCTGGCGCGGGGACAGCCGCGGGAATAAATTTCCGAATAAATCGCGGGAGCGGTCGGTAACGGGTTTAATTTGGGACGGGAGCGGGCTGTCTAGCAATATCACGAATATTGCTATGTGAATTAGAAAGAGAGAGTCTGCTTGGTATGAGAGAGCGTATGAGAGAGAGCGAGAGAGAGAGAGAGAGAGAGAGAGAGAGAGAGCGAACGAACGAACGAGCTTTGTGCTGTGTGTATGTGTTTATACAGACAGCTTGGCTGTCTGGACTGTATACTGGGTGATTTTTGGTTGTGTTCTCCGCTCTAGCGGGACCGGGCGCAGCGGGCAGAAAACGGAGCGGGTTCTCAGGCTAAAACCTGGCGGGTGCGGGCGGAAGCGGGAGCGTTGTCATCCGGAGGTGTGTGTGTGTTTTTGTGTGTGTGTGGTATGGCGAGTACACGACTGTCTCCTTCGTTCGGTTATCCGTAGCACTATCCACTCGCCATAGTGTGGCAGCTAAAATCCACACATACACTATCGAGCGTGTATGAACTGTGATTACTTTTTAAATTGCTGATTAGCTATTGGCCATTTCCCTCTCTGACTGAAGGCAGTCGACCAATCGCGACAGACTGTCATCGGTCCAATCAGCGCAGATTAGCTCCGCGCTAAGGAGGGGTTTGGGAACAAATGAATCACTGGACGATTCATACAGGAGTCGCTGGGATAATTGGGTAAAAATAAATGCAGATTATAAGACCATGAAAGTGTTTTTTGACCTTGCATGCATATTAGACTGTTGTTGGAGACTCTTACAACCAAGATATGACCCTATTTCATGTATAATATGGGCTCTTTAAAGGTTTTGTACTCCTAAGTACAAAATTATACTTCCATGGTACCATTTTTTTCTGGTAGTAGTCACAAACAAACTAAACAAACAAACAAACAAACTAATTTGTGAACTAAACAAAACGCACACATTAAAAACAAACAAACAAAAACATGGACAAAAGTTAACGACAAACAATGGAATAAAACAAAGTGAAAACTATTTTATTTTACCATGATGACAGTAAATATGATTACTAGATATTTTAAGACACTTCTATTCAGCTTAAAGTGACATTTAAAGGCGTTGGTAAAACGATGGTTTGTTCTGAAGACTATTAAAAAAAAAAAAAAAAAAAAGCTTAAAAGGGCTAATAATTTTGACCTTAAAATGGCTTTTAAAAAATAAAAACTGATTTTATTCTAGCTAAAATAAAACAAATAAGACTTTCTCCAAAAGAAAAAAACAAAACAAAACAATAAAACAATGCAAAAAGAAGAAAAAGAAAACAAGCAGCACAAATAAAATAAAATCAGTCAAAAACATTGTAAAACAAAACAGCAACACTAAAAACTAAATAAAACAAAACAATTATATGCATTCTCCCATCACTGAAAAATAAATGTGGTTTAATCAAACTTGCATGTTTACAGAAGTGTTAATTATTTGTTGAGATTTAACACATTTTCTGGGAATGAGTGAACTTTTTTGTTTGTTTGCATGTTTTTTGTTTTTTTTTTGTATTTTGTATTTTCCATAGATTCATTTCAGTTTCCTTCGGCTTAGTCCCTTTATTCATCAGTGGTCATCACACCGGAATAAACCGCCAACTATTCCAGCATATGTTTTACACAGCGGATGCCCTTCCAGCTGCAACCTAGTACTGGGAAACAACCATACACTCTCACATCCACACTCATACACTATGGAAAATTTAGTTTATCCAGTTCACCTGTAGTGCATGTCTTTGGACTGTGGGGAAAACTGGAGCAGAGGAAACTCAAGCTAACACAGGGAGAACATGCAAACTACACAGAAACGCCAACTGGCCCGGCCCGGACTCAAACAATCAACTTTTTTGCTGTGTGGAGACAGTGTTAACCACTGAGCCACCGTGTCACCCTCTTTGGTAATTTTAGTTTATTTTATTTTTACATTTACTTTGTGGCTATGAACGTACCGAACACAGTGACCTGGGCTGTTTCACTGTCTCTTTCGCCGACCATGTTGGTGCCCACGCAGATGTACATTCCAGCGTCGCTTTTCCTGGTGTTAGAGATCATCAGCTTCCCTCCACGGATCTAAACGAGAAAAAACAATGAAACTTTACAGCTTCTGTGACACTTCATATGATAAGATACCGCAACACTCTCAATGGAGCTACCTGAGATTAGGTGTCTTGCTCAAGGGCAAAATAGATGTGGTTTATGATTCACCTATTGCTGGTTTTGAAGCCGTAATGTTCTAGATTCAAGGCCAGATCATTAACCGCTACACCACACCCTGAATAAAGCTCTCTTTGTTTAGAAATATTTAGAATGAGTCTGAAATAAAACATCTTTGTAATCAACTGGAAACTTCATAGGGCAATTATTAGTATTACTTCACTGAGACTGTAAATATTTAGACTTCAACAAACTGAGCAAAAACATTGCATAACATAAGCAAATACAACACAACAATTAAATGAAGACAGCAAAAATCTAAAAAAAAAAAAAATAGAGAATAAATTAATTAAAACAAAAACAAGACAAAACTAAAGCAAAACAAATAAACTAAACTAAAAACTAAACAAAAGCAAGTGAAAAATGTGTAAACCAACTATAAAACAAATAAAATATTTAGAATATCTATAAAATAAGCAAAATAAGTAATCTAGTAAATAGATAAATTCTTAACTAAATAAGTAAATCCTTGAATAAATTTTTTTTGAAAAAATAAAATAAAACAAATAAAAAATGTAATAAATTATAAATAAAAAATATATTAAAATAACACAAAATTAATTAATTTTTTTTCAATTCAAAATAAAAAAATTACATAACATTAAATTAATAAAAATAAATTAAAATTAAATTGAATAAAAAAATGTAATGAAATGTAATTAAATAAAAATTAAACAAAATAAAAAACTTATTCAAAAAAGTATTAATTAATATAAATTAAATAAAAAATAATAAAGAAATAACAATAAAATAAATTTAAAAATAAATTAAATTAAATTACAATCAAAAAATAAATTACTTAAATTATATATATATATATATATATATATATATATATATATATATATATATATATATATATATATATATATATATATATATATATATATATATATATATATATATATATATATATATATATATATATATATTTATATTATTTATATATATATATATATATATATATATATATATATATATATATATATATATATATATATATATAAATATATATATATATATATATATATATATATATATATATATATATATATATATATATATAAATA